GGCCTTGTTCTTCTCCCACCAAATTTTCAGAAATTTAAAAAATAAGTGGAGAGAGAAAGAAAATTGTATTCAAATTTAAGTCTGAAAGTGCCATTTTCGGCCACTAGCGGTGCCATAATCATCAGTGTCCTTACCTCAGCCCCAACCATGGTAGGGCTGAGGTGGGTTAGACCTTCTATCTATGAAAATCCCTCCCTGGGCCCCTTCTTTTTGAATTTCTGGATCTCACCACTGTCCTGTATGGAAAAAGTTCACAACTTTGGCACTGCTGTAAGCCTACAAATATACAATTCTTGTAGGAATGGTAATGAAATTATTTGAGTAAGATAAATGTTGGCAATAGGCCTACAGTACAGTAAATGATGGTTGAAAATAGGGTACATGGTAGTGCAAAGTAATGCACAAGTATGACAGAAAGCCAAGGTTGAAGTGATTGATGTTGTTAATTTAAAAAGTATGGTAATGTAATACCGGAATCAGGTGGAACATCTTTATGCACTGTTGTCAAGAAAAAACACAGAGGCAGCATGAGCATACTTTCAATGATCCTTGCTACTCATTTGAAATGTAAAATGCTGGCATGGCAGACAGATTTATGGTGTATTAGTGATGGTGTAGCACCATGTAAGGGTTAAGCCAAACCTTTCTCCTCTTTTCTATGTGATACAGGCACTTCATTGGCCTATTCAAAAAAACCCTATTTTACAAGTTTCAAGTTTCTTTTATTTTATATTTGGCCTTATATTCTCTTTCCATCATATTTTTTTAGAAGTAAGTTTCCACTTAATACAAATGATATTTGCCCTAGGTGACATGTTATTGTACTGCATGTTTCCAAATGCTTGCGCAAAAATCTCCAGAGTGATGTGGGTGGGAACCCACGACCTCCCGATAACTAGCCTGATATACTGAGCATTTAACACGATAGTTATATGGTAGGGCAACATCATTCATATTATTATTTCTCCTGTGGAAAAAAACGCCATCGGAAAGTTCCCACTGAAGTTCTGCAGACATAGATCCCACAGTATTGTGTATAAGCCCGTAAAAGAATCAAAGTAGGCTTATAATTAAGTTACACTCAATTCCCTTAGCCCATGCAGTTATATAATATGGACCTACCTACACTTTTTATGAGCCCAATGCTATTCAGCCTAAAAACAGTAAAGGTGGAAGGTCATGTGTTGAAAATTTGGTGTGAAAAGATCCAAACTTCACCTGGTATTCTAAAAATATAGGGACACTCCTAAAAATCTTACTGTATTCAGGAGCAGTTAAATGATGACTGTCTACCCTAATTCATTTTTCTAAATGAAGCATCTCAACATTGATTTGATCAATAACCTCTGTCCATATTAGGCCCAATAAAAACAATTATTAGTTTTATTAACCTCACCTGTATGTCTTCCATAGTATTGAAAAAACATTTAAAATATTTTTTTTTTACTAAATAGTTTACTCAATTATGTATTTTACTTTGAATATCAATGTACCAGCAAACAACCCAAGGGTGATTTGGCTTTGAAGAAAAATAAAATTCCTACCTCATCACTTTAAAGCCTAGATAGATTAATAAACTAATAATGGTTTTATATTGAGCCTTAAAGTTTTGTGACAACAACCTATATGAATACTACCGTATAGGGATTTGATATGACATTATCATATCCATTATATGAGCAAAAAACATGTTTCTTATCTCTTCCCCCTTTTCCACAGGACAGATTACTCAGAAATTCTTGCAGAAATCTAGCAACAGGCAATATCGAGTTGGAAATGTTTCCCTTGGTAGCAATATAAAAAGGGCCTTATCTTCATAAACATGGTTTTGTATTAAAAGTCCCCCTACTACCGGTATATGTTTTGGTTATTAAGCATAGTTAACTTTTTATTTTGTTTTTCTTAATCTTTTAACTTTTTTTCTCTCTAGCCCCCAACTGAAATTCATCCAGATGAACTAAGTACTGAAGAAAAATCAAATTGTGTTGTGAACGCTGAAATAAAGTCTATAATGGTAAGATTTATACTCATCAAGATATTATATATCATCAATGTTTTATTTAGCATTTATAACATGTATATACAATTTTTTAATAATTGTGACTATACTATAGATTGAATAAGTTCATATGAATTTGGTGGCCTATTTTTATGGGTCCAATTTGCAAGTGCTACATAATTATCGCTTTGTATAGGTTGAAATATTGATGTCTGTTGTCTGAGATGGCATGTGGTATCCATTAAATCTAGGAGGAATAATTCATAGGTCACTGTTGCCATGGTAGAATACCATATCATTAGAATGACAACATTCTCTGACATGTGGGAAAAAAACTTTTTTTTTAAATTTATTTTTTTTTAAATTTTATCCAAGGCAACAAGCAGTGTTGAAACCAGTGGAGAAGCTCAACTAACCCCAGTTGGAAAAATAATGAAAATCTTGCGCCCCCTTAAGGCTTGGGCCGCTGGCTTTAACCAGTGAGAGCTAATAGCTGTTACGTCCTCACTCCCATATCAATTTGTTTGGTCTACTTTACTGCAAACGACCGCTGGCTTGAAAACCACCCTATCTCTTTACCATTAGCCCTTCTTCAAAAACATTGACTGATTTTACCACAAAAACCAGAGCTCAAAAACTAGGTCGATTAAATTAGGTTGAAACAGTTTATAGAAGGTAATAAATATAGCTATTGACAAAATATTTGGCCCCAGGAAATATTTTGAGTGAAATTTCTTTTAGTACCTTCCTGTTAGTTATATTATACAGTATTAGAATTAGGCCTACTGTATATGTAATAATAATTTTGAATAAAAAAAAAAACACACAATTTGTGTGTAGGCTGTGCCCTTGATTGAAGTAAGGTGCTGTTTCAAATTTATTTACTTTTCTGGAGAACGGTAGGTCTATGGATATGTCTTATAATGACTTTCCATGAGAAATAGGAAGATGAAAAAACTCTGCCCTGGGACCAAGCTTAATGGGAGACTATATTGTGGCCTAAGCCTACTGGGGATGTGAGATTGAAATTCTAATATAATATAACTAATAGGAATAAACCATAAAGCACAACATAAGAAATCGATTTAACTAATAAATAATACACACAATGTTCACCATAGGAAGGTACTGAAAGAAATTCCACTCAAAATATTCCCTGGGGCCAAATATTTTTTAACAAATATTGTTTGCAATAGCTATATTTATAACCTTCTATAAACTGTTTCAACCTAATTTAATCAACCTAGTTTTTGAGCTACGGTTTTTGACAATTTTTTTTTTTGGGGGGGGGGGGGGGCAGGCCGGTTCGGCCCGCCCTTCAACCCCACCACTGTATAGATTAGCATTATGAAGAATAGTACAAGATAAGAATCTCGCTTTCAAATATTAATCTCATCACTGATTTGAATCACATTCTCATGATTTGAATGCAGAAAGAAGAGTGGCCTGACTTTAAATTCAGAGACTTTGTGGCATCCCTTGATATTGGGACTCCGACAAGGAAACGGAGACAGGCTTCAAGCGTTAATTCAAAGATAACGGCTGATGATGTAATATATGTAAAACCAACACCTCAACAGATTGGCGATGATCTTGAAATTCAGTTTGTTGTTAAATCAGGTGGGTTTGCCTTTAAAACATAAGCAATGCCTTAAGTTCTACACAAAATATATGGGAAAAAAACCTAAAAAATAAAACTGCGACATTGAATTGTTTAAATCAAAATAACCATGCAAGATCAACTATCAAAGTTGGAGATAAAGAGTTGTTAATGATACAGATTTACTTCAAATATTCTTTAATTTGCTAACAAAAATTTACTAGGCTGGTCTAAAGGCAAATATTATAGGAATAGTATTAAATAAATGTCAATTAATTGACATATATATTTTTTTCTTTTATTTTCAATAGTTAATTTATTATAATATACAAAATTAGGCATTAAGCATTATGTTGTTGAATTTTCAGGTTCAATAGATTTTTATGACAGATCTTTCAAGATTCAAATGCAAAAAAACAGTAAATTTTATACATTAGGCACTGCATCATGTATATAACAATGTGTTTTCTAATAATTAGGTTGATTTAATTTCTCATCAATTTACTCTTTTATTAGATCTAATGTAAGTTATGGAATAATATTGATTAACATATTACCAGTATATAAAGATTTTTTTTACTCATTAAGTTTTTCCTAAATAAGTAGTCCATTAGTCAATTATATAATTACTTGTTGCATGGAAGTTATATAATAATATTTGTATGTTAATAGGTTTATCTTATCTCATCAATCAATCAATACATATTTAATTCCAATTTCAAAGTCAGCTCGGCCTAGCCAAATGAGGTTGAACGATATACTTGAGTTGGCTCTGTCTGTTAATGCGGCCAGAAAATATATATAACATTCTAAAATCTGTATTTTCCAATCAGCACCAAATTCAAGGACTGAGATACAAATTGTTTTGTTTTATGCACAAAATAGGTCCACTTTGAAAAATGGGTCCAGATTTCTCATATTTATGCATAAAATGGCTAAACTTTTAGGGATATTGGTCTAAATTATTTGAATTTTCGCGTAAATGATTCCACCCTGACATTGTCCATTACAGTTTGAAAATCCTGGCTATGGCAGATGTCAATCAGTTAATTAATTATTTAATATATCACCTGGAAGATAAGCCTATATGTAATATTATTTTTGAGAGAAAATGTTAGGAGTACATGTTAGTTAATCATGAGGTTTATCTCATCTTATTAATGATTTAAGTATACGGTTCTAATTTTGTCATGAATGTAAAGAACAGCAATAACTTTTTGAATCTCGCTTAATATGCATTATTACAATGCACTCCTTCATAACATGACTATGCATTTTTGTATGATCACTAGATAAGAGCTGCTGTTTATCATAGGTTGCATCTGTAGTTAATGATTATATTATGTTTTTCCCAGGTACTTCATACGTTCAAGGTAAAACTTTAACTGAACAACTAAATAAAAATAGGGAGCAGATAAAATCAAAGGTAAGGAGTTAGTAATACATTACTTATCTAATCCTGTCATTTATCTTAATTCTTTCCTTTAAAATATTCCAAATGTATCAATAAAACCAAGAACATCACCAAAATTTGAATGTCCCTTTAATCCAGATTGCATTATAACCTAGGAAAAAGAAATCTATTAAAATAATTTGTAATGTCACATCATTTACATTCTTATAAAAACGAAGACAAAGAAGCATTTTGCTATCAGCCAGTCATTCATTTTAAATCTTCTGGTATTTTAAACGCTATCAATCATATTATTTATATTTATTTATAATGCACCATTCAAACAGTAAAGATGGAGACCAACACTGGGTTCAGGCTAGGATTCGGGGCCCCATTTGACTGTGGCCCTGGCTTCGTCCCCCGAAAGCTCACAGGCGTTATGCCACTGAGCAGAAGATTATTAAGAACTATACCTCTGTAGTTTATGACATGTTTTTGGCTTCGGATACATAAGATTGATATTCATACAATGTTGATGACATAATACACAGGGGTTTCATATCTATGGTCATTAATCAGAGAGGGACAAAAGTTCAAAAACCTTCATTAGCTAGTGAGCACAAGCTACTAATGATAATTAGACCAAGAAATCTGTTGTCATCCTTAATGAGGATGGTGTCAAGAGTTCAGACCTGCCATGGTAAGGTATCTCAAAAAAGAAACTCAACAAATCTAAATGCACTCTAATTAACCATTTAGATCATCCATCTTATTCATTAGACACACTTGTTTTTGATTGATTAAGAGTCAAAGATGATTCAATTTGTTATTCATCAGGCTTCTAAGAACAAGTGGATTTTAAATACTGAATTAATCCAATTGTTTATGAGATGGATAATTAGATTCCAGTTTGAATATTCCCTAGATATATTACTACATAAATTACAATATTTATGTAGGATATTATAGAAAAAATACAAGCAAGAAAGAATCAAACAAATGTTGGCACTTCAGATAGTTTATCAAGCTCAAATGGTGTCCAAGATAGGGTGTCAACATTTTGCAACTCTGACATTCACACTTCGCAACATACAACGTCTTGGTTACGAAATATCTACAGAAGAGTAAATTGTGTTTGTGTAGCCAGGGGGATTTTTAGGAGTTTCTTTTTTATACCCCAGTGGATGTTTTTTTCTTCACACTGGAAATTCCTTTTGTAGGATAATTACAGTAAGCCTAACTTGCTACTGCAAGAAATGCGCTTTTAGCCTGAACCCCATTTGTCTCGTTAGGTGGTGAACCCAATGCTCTGAACCATCATATTGTAGATGCTGCCTACAGGCTTGTTTATGCTTCAAAAATGTGCTCTTTACTACCAAGCAATTTCCATTTGAAACATAATATTGTTAACAAGGTGTGGATTTCAAGAATTTCGATATTTTAAATGAGTAGGCCTACTCCTTAACAAAATAGAAAAATGTGTTGTAGCACAAGCAGAATGTAATAAGCAGATTTACAAGATTTGTATTACTTCCACATGCTAGGGTCACGCATTTGTTTATCAGCATGTCTTCTATATCTCATCCATCTAGTCTCCCAATCAGAAGCATTATCTATACTATCATCTTGTACTAGTATGACAGTATCTTCAACATTACAATTGTCCCATCCATCTTTATGCCAGCATGACCATCAACATATTATCTGTAGCTAGAGATGACCTTTGGGTAGATTTATGAGCCCTTTTCTAGTGTCCATTTGCCTTTTGGTGATCACGTTGCTGTGATTATGCTATAATCCTGTTTTTACATGGAATTTGTGATAAAGCACTGTGTTTGTGTATCTGGTTAAAATGTTTTGGTGATACCTGTGCTGTGTGTTTATACTCAAAGAGCAACTGAATGCATATTGTACAGGTAAATATTGATGCCGGCCCCTGGTATTACTATAATGTAGATCAGTTAAGGGAGCTTAAACTAGACATGTCTTGGGCCTGTTTCTGCTGGCAAGAAATAATTGATTAATAGACCGAATTAGCAATCAACGCTGTTCAGCTATAGAGGGTATTCGAACCAAAACAAACGCACGGAGATAGGCGACTTACACAGTCACTTAAGAAAATAGCCTTTACTAAAACATCTCATACACGCTTTGTGTGTAAAGTTGAGTGTGATTTAAATTAACAGAAACCATTGTTACATGTTTATGAATGTAATGTCGGCTTTTCTCTACGATTGTTTATGCCGAATGTGAAATATAACGAGAATAAAACGTACATTAGTCGAGTCTGCCTGTGTTACAGCACGATGACGGCAGCCGTATATTCACTCACCGTGAATCATGGCATTGGTCGATGAATGTGCTTGTTACAAAACTCATGAAATGTGTTGTACTTGAAAATTTTAAGTAGAGCTAAGTTATTTAAAATTATTGAATAATGTTCCTAAATTCACACCAATAACTTTGGCAGACTGGATGTCTAAACAAGTAAAAGACTTGATGACAGCACGGAGCTGAACGTTTACAGTCAGGCCTCACTCAATCATCACATCCAGCCATGTCGCAATGTCGTGCAAGACATGTTAGGGGCCGAGGCCTGTAAAAACTCTACGTATATTTATGTTAATTTTACATGAAAATCAAATCAAAAATCTTCTGATGGTTCTATGAACCTTCCTTAACCTATCAATGTTTTAAAAAGTATCTTAACCGCGTACTTTGGTTTTTATTTTCTTGTTTTCCAAGACCATATAAAAACTCGCAACGTTATATAATAGGACTTTTAGGCTCTGTTTACAATTTTATACCCATTCGGCCAAATTGTGATGACGTCATCTTTCGTCGTTAATTCGGTCTATTGCAGAAACAGGACAAGTTCAAATCAATTTTTAAAAAGCAATTAAAACACTGAATGATATAATGTTTGACAAAGAATGGATTATTGCTGTACACTTGTTTGCTGTGACACACAATAACAATTATTAGTTGAAAAATTACCATACTGGATGTAAAAAAAAGTTCGCACTTCCACTGTATTTTTTATGAACCTAATTTTCATTAATTTTTGATTTATTTATTATTTTTATTTTTGATTACAGTCATTTGGGTGGGAGAAGCATTTATTCTGGGGAGGCTGTGTAGGGGAAGTTTATTTGATGGGGGAATTTATTTAAAGTGGACGTTTTTAAAAAAAATATGGTATTTAGTGTTCGTTGGTAATAAATAGTAACGTAATTTCCACCTGAGGTGAGCGGTCAATAACCGATTCTGCTTACACAAAATGCAGTAGCAACGTGTAGGCCTAGGTCTGAATAACCGATTAGGAATAATTGATTATTTAGAGTGTTTCAGGAGAAACAGGCCCTTAAAATAGACATGTCTTATGAATGTCTGGAAACACTGTTTATTAATATTAATTTCTACCTGATGTGAGCGGTCAATAACCAATTCTGCTTTACACAAAATGCAATAGCAACGTGTAGGCCTACAGACTGTCTGAATAACCAATTAGGAATAATCACTTATTTAGAGTGTTTCAGCAGAAACAGGCCCTTAAAATAAACAGTTTATTTATTAATTTATTCACTTTTACTCAGGGTAAACTTCCAGCTAAAAGCTGATCATTTTCAAAAATACACGACATGAAGAATAACAATTAGGGCTGTACATTTTATGATATAAAAATCACAATTTGCAATATGTATTTTCTTTATTTGATAAAATATAATTTAAAGAATTAATAGATTTCTAGATGATAATCTATATTAATACTTGAAATACTGATTCCATTTGTAGTTCACTAATAAATCAAATGTTTATTATATAATTTCACTGAAAACTGTCATGATTTTTACAGTGGCAGGGCCAGAAGGGGGACAAACACCCAAAGCACAGTCTGTGCCCCAAACATCAAGAAAAGGGAGGTGGGCACTCCAGGCTTAGAGCCCTAGGTTGGTTTTTAACTATATCTATTATATTGATTTTGCAGGGCCTTCATGGAAATATTTTCAACGTAGAATATAAAAATGCCAAATTTAAAAAAAAATTACATCCCTGGTCTAGGCTTTTGAAAGACAGGCGAAAGTTGCCCTTAATTTTTGTCTCTTAGACAAAATTTTCATCTTTTGAGTAAACAAACTTTGTTTAACAGTGTGCAATCGTTTGTTCAGCTAGTGTTTCTGTGATGTTTTCATCCAGGAATAAACTGACTAAAAATATATTTTGTGAAGCATGCCGCGTGTGGCAAATCCCAGTAGTGTGTTCTGTGGTTGTTCATATGTTGCTAAATCAACATTATCACCAACATGTGGTCTTAAGATATTCTCTCCCCATCTTTCAACCTGACATCGTCGAGGTAGAATAATATTTATCATTAGTACACCAGGCCTGATTAGAATAGAACATGGCTGAGTTGCCTAAGGATCAGAAAGGATCTGACAGCATTTTTATAGTAACAAAGCTACTTTCAATGAATTATTATTTTAGGTAGTTTTGTTGTATATTTGGGGAGGTTTTTATAGTATTTTTTTAAAAAACTAGGTTTTCTGCAAGACTGATGAGCCCTGAGAGTTAATACTTTCTATACAAACCACTCACATATCTGGCAGACCAAAAGGGGGATATAGGCAATGTTCCAAACTCATGTATTGTAGTACATAATTATTGCTGTGAAGCAGCTAATTCATATTCTTGACAGCAATTTGACCTCTGAAAGGTCATTGTTTGTCAAAAAACAATCGCCTAAGACAACTGAAAAGCGGAGTTTCCTTCTTTCGTTCTGCTGGGTAAAATCAATTACTTTAGACAATGTTTGTAGACTAACCTACTCGTACCAACGTCGGCATGTCGCGACGCTGGAGTACTATTCAGCGTTTTTACTATATTTCTAGGTTTCCTATTTCTACGTTTAATCGGCCCATGTCTCAACCACAATATTTTGAGGCCAATATTATTTACGAACCTAGTTAAACTTATTTACTCGCCTATTTCAACGTGCTAATTATTACATATATATAATAATATAATATAATTCT